ACCACTTGCCGGTGGAGGGCTGCAAATTTAAAACTGTACTCAGTACTTATGGCTTTTGAGCAGTGAGGGATCTTTTTCATGTCAGCACTTACTGCGACACAGGACCTCAGTTTATAAGGTCTCCTCCAAAGACCGGTCTCCACGTTCTGCTATGGGATTTGAATCCACAATGTAAGGATCATCTTACTCCTCGACTCGTCGCCCGCATGGCGCAGTGGTTAGAGCGTCTGCTCTAGAGTCGCGGAGTAAGGAGTTGATCCTTACGTCACGGGTTCAAATCCCACTGTGGGATGTGGAGACCGGTCCTTCGGATGAGACCGTATAAACCGAGGTCCCGTGTCGCAGTAGGTGCTGGCAGGAAAAAGATCCCTCACTGCTCAATGGCCGTAAGTGCCGAGTATAGGACAAAATTTGCAGCTCTCCACCGGCAAGTGGTGGCGTCTCCATGAGTGAAAAATTCTCAAGAGGGACATTAAACAACATAAAAACAAACAAACAAACTCCTCAACTCTAAAGCAAATGCTCTAACCATTGCACCATGCAGGTGACTTTGATCTCCATGCCTCAGAGGAAATGGCTTGATAGCCTCTTATAGGAGTAATTGTCACTGACTATATGCACTACCTATGTAGTCACATAAACCAAATACTGCTGCTCTTTGAGACATAGTTTATAAGTCTTATATAATGCACTTAAAATAAGTCAAGATTCCTAAGAATTTCAAACATCCCATTCATTCAAAGAGTTAAAAATAATCAATACCTCAGGAAGTTTCAACTATTCTTAGATTTGAAAAATATTTGCTCAAATTGAATTAGATTTCATATTTTATTCTGTTTATGTCAAACATGATGTTCTATTTATTAACAATTGATTTCTCTCCTTGGTAAAATGATTTTTTACTGTTTATTTAACGTCCCTTCGAGAATTTTTTACTCATGTTAAGAAGCCACCACTTCCCTGTGGAGGGCTGCAAAATTAGACCTGAACTCAGCAATTATGGCCATTTATATTAGCAGTAAGGGATATTTTGTGCAAACACCTACTGCAACAAAGAACCTGCTTTATACGGTTTTATCCAAAGGACCGGTTTTCAGGTCCCACAATGGGATTAAAACCCTTGAAGTAAGGATCAACTCATTACTTTGCAACTCTGGAGCAAAAGCTCTATACTTTATGCCACGTGGCGACTGGTAAATTGATAAGCATGCACTAAATATGTTGACTCTACCACAGGCCTCTATGTGACCTCTAAAATTTAGGCACCAACTGGCTCCTTATGAAAAAAAAATTTAGTCACCAATGCAAATTTTTTGCCGCCAGGTAAATTTTTCTTAGGCACCAATCTAAAAACTGATATTAGTCAATATTAGAGACATGTCCATTGCTTCTTTTCGGCTCTTTCTAAAAAAAAAAAATTGAAAATGTTTATAGTTCAGTAATTTGATGATCACCAAGCCAATTTAAAATGGTCACCAATTTGGCGAATTCTAGAAAAATTTTAGGCACCAATCATAATTTTTAGGTGCTATGGCGACTTAATTAGTCACCAATTAGACCTATACCATATATCGTATACCCTGTAATTGTTTTCACCATCTGCACATTTCTGATTTTTTTGCCTTTACAAATCAACTTGGTTATAAAGATACATGACTGTATAAGTTTTGTAAAACAGCTGGATTTTTAAGTTAAATTTCTTTTGGTTTAAAGCTAAGAAAACTTATATATTATAGCTAAAGGACTGGTTATTAAGGGACAAGCTTAAGTATTTCTGACACATTTATTCTATCCCCTTTAAAATTACCATGGGGCTATAGATACAGGTTGGTCATGTGATCAAATCCCATGGAATCCAAAGGGCTTTATGGTAGGTAACAACATATGACTATAGTCCCATAGATGATAAAATATTATACTTTTCATGTTACATTTTGCCCATATATGAAGCATTAGAGTATTATAAATGGTGTATAAAACATTAATGTTTTTACTTTGAATTTCAAATGTCAAGCGTCACCTGTGTGGCACAGTGGTTAGAGCATTTGCTCTAGAGTCGCGGAGTAAGGAGTTGATCCTTACGTCCTGGGTTCGAATCCCACTGTAGGACATGGAGACCGGTCCTTCGGATGAGACCATATATATCGAGGTCCAGTGTTGCAGTAGGTGCTGGCATGAAAAAGATCCCTCACTGCTCAATGGCCGTAAGTACCGAGTACAAGTCAAAATTTGCAGCTCTCCACCGGCAAGTGGTCGCATTTCCATATGAGTGAAAAATTCTCGAGATGGACGTTAAACAACAACAACAAAGTTAACTGGAAGTCCGAACCACTTATTTTTTAAGAAATTAACACTCGATATCTTGAATACTCCTATATCTCTAAGTTTTTTCAGTTCCATCTATTTTAAAATAATGAGGTTTGACTGTGCATGTTTCTTATTTAGCATTTGATGAATTTCATATGAATCACCAACAAGTTTTCACATTTTGATGCAAACTTTTATAGTTCTAAACAACCACCCACTCATTAATCAATTACTACATATAATTTAAATAAAATAAATTAACAATTAGTTAAGAGTTCATAATTATATACATTTTACCAACTCTTTTTATGTATTCAACTACATGATATTATATACATAATTTAAATAAATTTAAATTGATCAGAAATGTCAAAATGGAAAGTTTGAGAAACCTGGCTTCATTTACTGGACAGTACTGAAATTGTAGAAAAGAAGTTCATTCATTTATCAATTGCTACAGTAGCATTAATTATCTTGATACATCACCTTTGTATATTTATTAGTATGATTGCAAATAGATGAACAGGCAGGCACACATGCTAAAGTGTTCCTTCACTTTGATTTTTTAATTATTTTAATACATACTACCTATTTTCGAAACATATTTTCTTATCTGTTCCTAGAACGAATCATAAAATTATTTTACCAAACTTTTTCATTATTTCATAAATATCTCTAAAGCTTTTGAATGTGTTCCATGTATACTGCCCTACTCATCTGCAAAAATGGGTACAAAACTGGTTGTTACAAAGAAACTTGGAAGTACTTGCACATGGACTACTTGGGAGCTACTTCATAGTTAGATTACTTTTTCTGTTTAACACAACAAAATGCTATAATGGTTACAACCAAAAAGATTTACTTGAAATGCTTCACTTATATAGTTACTGTACCCATTTTTGCAGATGAGTAGGGCAGTATACATGGAACATATTCAAAAGCTTTAGAGATATTTATGAAATAATGAAAAAGTTTGGTAAAATAATTATAATTTCATTGCCTCAATTGATATAATTCATGTTTCTTTGGATTGAAAAATCTTTATATAACCTTCAATAAAAGTCCTTAATTATTTCCTATGTATCTTAAAACACGAGATCTGATTGGTTAGCAACCAGGGTGTAAATTTCCTTACACCCAGCTAAAGCTGGGGTGGGGTGGGTGGGGTTAAATAATGTGACATCACAATGAATAGTTTCTATATCAAATAAACACCATACAACATGATGTCACGATGTATTGAAGCATGTAGTAAATCAATAGTTTAAAATATTAGTGGAATTGGGTTTACAGAGAAATTATTAGGTTATATAGGAAATAAAGATTTGTTATCCAGGTGTAATCAAGGGTGTACAAAGATTTACCTGTTAGCAAATATAACCTATCACTGGGTCGTATTTTGGCTGACTTGCTTCATACCAATTGTTAAGCCTTTGTTTATATGCTAAATTTGACTATTGAATATTCCATCTACTTGATCAATATATAGGGCTCACAGTGGGTGTGGCCGGTCAACAGGGGATGCTTAATCCTCCTTGGCACGTGATCCCACCTCTGGAATTTCAGGGGGTCTGTGTTTATGCAGTGTTCAAAGATTTGTATTGTTTGTAATTTTTATGAAATTAGATCACTGTTCATTATCTTCTCTTTTTCACTCCATATCCATACCCCGCAATCATAACTTTGACCTTTTGACTCCAGAATCAAGAGGAATCATCCTCTCCACTGGAGTAGAGACTGATCTAAAAGCCAATTTGAAAGCAACTAAATCATAGACACAAATTTAATTTCTGATGTACACATACCCTAAATTAAATTAGTGACTATTGTCTGCCCCAAAATAAATACAGGGACCCAAGACTTTATCTTTAAAATAATTAAAAATTCTTTTAAACAATGTATAAGTACTGCACAACAAATGTAAATCACATAACACATAAATATGCATAGACATTTAACACATACAACAGGGTGATTGGGCTATGTGTATGTTTAAGGTGTGCAATAGAACATCTCCTATGACACGATACAATATTTTACAAGATGGTGTGTATATATCGAATAAATTATGTGATATTTTGTTTAGTATATTACTATATAGGTCTCTGGGTATTGCTAAGAGACCCCTAACATAGAATGAAATGCAAGTTGGGACCCATGCATGTAGTTTTCTCGTTTATTTAAATAGACGCATGCAATTTCTTCACTTTAAGAGCATACTTTATGATTAAACAAATGTCATTTCAAACTCTACCAGATATACTGCAATACAGTGCCCTACACTCAGTCAGTGTCAGTATGTGTACAGGGTGATAAAAAATACATTATCAATATTGCCATTTATCATGTTTATTTACCAATAATTTCAAAACTTTTTAATTCTGTATTGCATATTTATGAAAAAATCATGACGATACTATCATCAATTACTTGCAATAGGATTAATCAATAAAATAAATGAATTGTGCATTTCCGTCCTCATCACCATCTAAGGCATCTTTCTTCAGCATCGACTGATACGAGGTTCGACATGGCAATTATAAATAAATATTTATCTTTTTATTCTGTCTTGAAATGCTGTACAGCTGGTCTGAAAAAATGTGATGGATTACCAGAGGAAATAAGATCTGATTTATTAGAATTAAATGTTCTGTATTTAAAAAAAAACGGGTTGGCAATTTACGAAACAATAGTGGGTCGGGTTATTTAGCCAACCAAAATGGCAGTACAGGCTCCGACCGAGGACTGAGGAAGCTTAGGATGACTAATAAGAATGGTTGCGGCGAGTGTTTTGTTGTGGAAGTATTAGAAGAATGTGTAAGAAACATACGGTTAGTCGCCTAAGTTCAAATCTATCAAATTCAAAGTTTTAATAAAAAGATATCTACAATTCTACACTTGGACGATACACTGATACACAGTCATTTAGCTGGTACAATCACTAGTGGGGTTAAAAAATAATTTAATTCATAGTTTAACTTGCTGTAGTCCTTGTAACAACAGTAAAGCAGTGTAGATACCAAACACCAAAACCAAAAAATATATAACTAATTTTTTGTTTGCACTGCAATAGACTGATGTCTAGTTAGAATATTCTAACTGTGTCTCGGGACAGGCCCTCACCACAGTTAGAATACGTCCCATATACTTGCAATGTAGCAAATCGGAGTGGATCCACTCCGAAATGATTCTGAAGAATACAAAATGAGTTGCACTGAAAATAACTACCAAATTAATCATAACAAACCTTTTTGAGATTGTATATGCCTTTTAACCTAAAAATTAATCCATATATATACGAAAATTCAACTCATTTTCTCAATGTTTTTTCCTCGCTTCAAATTTAACGCCATGTTGACATTCGGAACTCTCTGGATTCCTCATAGAAAATGCACAGTGTTCGAGTTATCGCCCGTGTTTATTTTGCTACATTGCAAATACACGGAACGAATTCTATCGTTAAACCGGGTCCGTAGGACAATATTATTTTAACGATAGAACATTCTATCTAACTGATGTCATCTGGAAGAGGAAGTAGTTGTAGATAGAATTTTCTAATCATTAAAATGATTAATGAGCTTCAGACCCGGTTTAAGAGAGGTGTGGTGAGGGCTCGTCTGGAGACGCAGTTAGATTATTTAACTAATTTAAAAGTAGTTCGTGCCCCAAAGCTATTAAAGAGTTTTAAGACCACGTTACAACATCCTGATGACTAAATGCACCCTCCTCCATCACATTAAAACCCAAGAGGATTCTTATAAATTTATACTGGTACATAAACAAATTGATTGAAGAAATGCCCATGTAGAAAACGCATGGTTTTTTCTCGTCAATGTCGTAGCATTATACTGGTGGATGAAACTTGACATATTAGTATTGATAGAATACTTCCAATTACAATTACTTGTTTTTAATTTTAACCTAAAATCATTAAAGTCATGACTGTATTTGTAGACCCCTACAGTTTGGGGTATTTCGAATCCTGTGTGTACATGAGAGCAGATGAATAAAATACACATGCTGCACACTTGTTATATTAATTTTACATGTCAGATGTACACTCAATTTTTAGACAGGACCAAACTTTTACTAGTCAGTGTCGATCAGACATATGCCTTATAAATGTTAAACCCTGTGTCCGAATGCATAAATATTTTTTACTTGTCTGATTCTGAACAGATTTAAAGAAATTTTTTGAACTTAATGAAGGCTAAATTAGCTATAAAAATAACTGACTTATTTAGATTTGTGTTATCATGAAGATAGAAATATTAATTGCGCTCCTCCTCTCATTAGCAATATTTATCGAGGTATAACTGAGTGTTAAAGATGGAAAATTTATGCTATGCTATAAGTACATATTTTAACTTCAGTATCTTGAATCGTAGGATATCACAAAGTTTTTTCTAGGACCCATTAGGTTCGATGTTTATATTCTACTCTAAAATGCTTAAAAATGAGTTTTTATACTACTGGTATCATTTACATTTTTGAAAAATATTTTTTATTAATTTTTTTATCATGTTTTTATCACAAATATAGTTTCACTATATATACCATGAAGAATTCACATCACATCAGAAACAGTTAATAACAAATGCTAGAAACAAATACAACAAAACAGAAACAGTTGTAACACCCTCTTGATCATCCTCGTGTGCTTTTATGCTACATATTATAATAGCTCGGGTTCGAGATTTAATGCTGTTAGTTGCTAAGGCAAATATAAACAAAAAATGGGGCAGAGTTCCTGGGCTCGACATTGTATGCTCATCCACTTGTCCAGTACATGTACCAGTAAAATTTTTCATGAACAAGTGATAATTACTGACCACTTGTCCGATTTGACAAGGGATATTTTTCTAGGAAGAATTTTTTTTTAGCTGAGCATGAAAACTTAAAGAATTAAAATTTGTTGTCAACTTTTTATCGGAGGTTCAAAATGAAAACATGCCATGCATGCGGTTTGTAAATAGTTAAATGTTGAATGATCCTGCTCGTAATAATGATGGCCCTGGTTGTCAAACTTGATCAGGAACAATGTTACTATGAAACTTGTCTGAAATATCTGATGTTTTTCAGGCATTTGTCACAATTTTAATTTTAATATTTAAAGTACCAGGAAGTTGACTACTTAGAACTACAGTAACTTTGAAACGTGTACTTTTACTGAAGGAAATTTGGGTTTTTTATTATCTGGCAGGAGAGCTTTAGCAAAAGACAATTTAGGCTACAAAGGATAAGCAAAAGAAGGCAAAGAAAAATTTGAAGTCATATAGTCAGCTATTTCTTGTTACTATTTTTCTTTCATACATGTAATTATATAACATGATTTACAGCTACTTTAGGATAGGATGATACAGTTTAGTAATTTGCAATAGATGTGTCCACTCAAAATCTCAAAAACAGACTCAATGAATGTATTATAGACTATTGTAATGTACAATATTTTTTCAAATTGTTAAATAGGTCTTTTATGAAATATTTTTATACAAGTAAAAGTTATGTTCAGACAAGTAAATTTCACAATCACTTACTTCGAGGGTAACATACCAGAATATTTTCCCCAATTGTGTCACCCAATGTCGAATGCATATCTTGTCATTTAATTATTCAGTTTTATTTATTTCAATATATTAATATCCAAAAACATTATTGCTTATGTAATTGCTAGTCATGAGGACCCCCTGGAGATAAGCCTATTATGGCAATAGATGGGACTGAAAAAAAAAAAAACCTTTGAGAAACAGATAATTGAGGTTTCAAGAATAGAGGGTAAAGTTCATAAACTCACTGAACTTGAGCACTTAGACATATCCATGGTACTTGAGAAAGAGTTTTAAAATACATAAGTAAAACTGTCATTAACAATAAATTTTATTTCTCCATTTTTTATTTTAGCACCTGAGCCAAAGGCTTAAGAGAGGTTTTCTGATCAAAATTTGTCTGTTGTCTGTAACTGTTGTTGTTGGAGGCGGCGACATAAACTTTTCACATTTTCATCTTTTTCTCCAGAACCACTTTGCCAATATTAACCAAACTTGCCACAGAGCATCCTTGGGTAAAGGAAATTCAAGTTTGTTCATATGAAGGGCTACACCTTCTTTCAAGGGGAAATAATTAAGAATTGTTGTAAATTTAATGGCATCTTTAAAAACATTTCTTCTCAAGAATCAGTGGACCAGAAAATGAAAATTCTCTGAAAGCTTCATTACTTAGTGTACATTCAGGTTTGTTTAAATCATGACCCCCCCCCCCCCCCCAGGGTAGGGTGGGGCCACAATGGACAATCAAATTTTTACATATGAATAAATATACATCATCATGTGTAGTAAAAAAAAAAGTAGAACAGCAAGGCCATAGTGACTTGGGTGAGCATTGTTGCCCATGGCCACTTGTTCTTTTACAGGCATTTTTTACTTTGACAAATTGCACTTTAATAATATAACTATAAGCTTAAATTGGATAATATTTTATTAACAATAACATTGTTAATCAAACTTTGGTGAAACTGTGAAATTAACTTGTCAAATGACTAGAAATTTCTTACTGAATCTAGATATGGATATACAGTTCTACAACATTTAAAATTTTACTGTGGCTCAGCACACATAAACAAAAATTTTTGGAGATCAATAACATTTTGTCGAAATCAAAGACAAAACCAAATGCTTGGGTATTTATTTACAAAGTCTGATTTGTTAATTTTTTACCATATGAATAATTTACCCTTTCTTTCCAGTAGACCCTTGTTATGCCATGCTTAGCTTAGAGCCAGGAATAGTAAATCAAAATGAACTTAGTCAGTTATTGTTCTTTGTAGAAAGAGACAATTTCTTTTCAGGTTTTCTTTTTCGGTTTCTCATTTTAGGCCTACAGTATTTATTTTTTACTCAAATATTAGGAATATTATACTTGTGGGCAATCAATGAATTTAAGGAATACTCCTTTTTTAGGTGCTCATGATGCAACTTCCTGGATGGTGTGTAAATTGTTTATCAGCATGTGAAATCCACATGATTGAAGGTATCTTACCTATCAATAATATCAATTTTCTCTATTAAAAGCTGCATAAGGAATTATTTTATTTCTGGTCTCAAATTTTTGTCCAAGCATCATTCATTTTTTCTTCATCTTTTATCTAGTGAGGGTCATATTAATTGATTAATAATTTAATCAAGGCTTTATAGTAAAATATAGTGAATTATTTTCTTGGGTATGACCTTTAAAGGGGCATAGACTCAGATTTGAAGTTAATATTTTCTAAAATTTTCGACTAGATCGTGACATGTGTGGCTATAGTATTTCACAGGGAAATATCATTAAAAAAACTTATTTTACCTGGAAATTATTGAAACTACGAATTTAGGGACGCATTTGATTGACACATCCTTGCACTTTCACAAAGTAAAACTTCATCCTTGATACTTAAAAAAAGTAGAAATTTTGTTGTGTTTTAGTAAAAAAAATTAAAGATAAAATCCAGAAAATTCACAGTTGAAATGTGAGAAAGCAAAACCAACTCATCAGTATTGTCAGTCCGTGCTCAGTGATGTGTGCAGAGTTTAACAAATTGAACACACCCAATGGAACGTAAACTGTTTTGTGTTCAATTTGTTAAACTCTTCACACATCACTGAGCACAGACTGACAATACTGGTTAGTTGGTTTTGCTTTCTCTGATTTCTACTCTTAATTTTCTGGATTATATTTTTTTATATTTTTTCATTAATATGTATCAAAAAACCTATTTTTCTTAAGTATTAAGGATGAAGTTTACTTGTGAAAGTGCAAGGATGTGTCAATCAAACACATCCCGAAATTCATAGTTTCAATAATTTACAGATAAAATAAGTTTTTTTATTATATTTCCGTGTGAAATGCTATAGCCACATATATGTCATGATATAATACAGACAATTTGAGAAAATATTTCAAAATGTCGAATCAGTGTCTATGTCCCTTTAAGAGTAACAGGTAACTTCACTTTTGAAAATAATTTTTCTTATTTCAGGAGAAGTCTTCCTTGTTAAAGATCAGCAACGGCAGATAAACAATTCATGATGCAATCTGCTCACTAAAAAGATTACACCAATACATCCCATGACATGTATTTCTACCTGTCACCTATGTAACCTTTGTCATGCTCTTCAGAGAGGTAAGAAAACAAAATAATTATGACAAAAAATTTTGGTAAAAGTGATACTTAGAGATCACTTTACATGGTGTCTGTCTGTCTGTCATACCCTAGATCCTGAGAACTGTAAGAGGAATGGATTTGATACTTTGCACTTGCATTGCTTGGCACTTTGGCTTTTGTAAAATACCATATACAGTCAAACTCGTTTACATTGAAATTTAAGGGACCTTGAGATTTATTTCAAAGTAAACGAATTTCATTATATCTGTGTGCTATGAATTACATAAAAAATGTAGATACAGTTGAACTTCATTATCTGGAACACTGATATCTTGAATACCATGGATATGTCAAAGTGATTTGCTGTACCAACCACTTATTCTTTAAGTATTTTACCCTCGATATCTCGAATCCTCAGATATCTCGAAGTTTTTTCTTGGTCCCTTCAAGTTAGAGGTACCGAGGCTTGACTGTACAGTAAAAAAAATATACAATTGCGAATTCATATTTTTTACATAACATTACATGCAGTGTTTCAGAAATGTACTTATCTCTATTTTTCAAAAGAGTCCTAAATTTTTTTTACTGTTTTATTTTTTTTTTTTTGATCTGTGTTAGAAAACTATCAAGACTATTTATACACGGAAAAAGTTCGTCCTGAACATTGCCGCATAGATGCAATGATTTGTCAGGTTCGAATCTATAGAACAGCCCTGTCTCATCAGCATTGAAAACATATGCTTCATATACTTCAATTCAAGAAGTTTATTTTCCATTTACTTAATTACAGTGGATTTATTTACTCCGGCACTTTCTCCACTAGGGCTGTGTCAATATATTGATTAATCAATACATATCGATATTCAGGAATTTATCGTATCGACAAACTAACTTCCAATACGTATTGGGCAGACTGTTTTTCTTATAATTCTGTGAAAAAGTTGGGAATTTCAGTCACCAAAGATAATTTTTAACTGTTTTTAATTAAAACTGGTCAATAATAAAATAAACATTAAGGAGATAGCACATCTTAATTAACTATTGCAAAATTCATATACAACTATATTTTAACATATTAGTTTTTCAGTCATTAAAAGTTTGAATTTGAAGTGTTCTTTGTAAAGACAGTGAGACATGTGAGCTTCCAATTTGGTATTAAAACACCCAGTTTTTATCAAATTTATGCATTAAATGATTTACAAGACCTTTTTTCTAGACTTATTTTAGAATCCAATATATTGCATATTGCTTTATAAAATATCTTATCGAAATATTTTGGTCAATACACAGCCCTATTCTCAACACACCAATGTACACATGTCACCCCTGCGTATTTTATCCATGTCGGTCTTAATGCCATAGTTAGAAAATAAAAATGGCGACTAATATGTTACGGTGAGAAATGCTCAATGATTATTGTTTTATCTATACAACACATAATTAAATTTGTACAGGTCCACCAACATCAAATCACCTGTGAAAAATTAACACGTGCTAGACTTTATATATAGTCAGTCACCTGAGTCCACGCGTCGCAATCGGCAACTTCAATGTACCCGTTATCAAAACTGCTATAAGCTTTGTGTTCAGCAGACCCCAAAATCACTTCAAATTAACAGAGTTTTTCAAGTTAACCGATTTCAATCTAAACGAGTATTTATTGCAAAGAAACTGTACCAGCATTTTAGGAGAAACCCAGTTCATTTCAAACAAACCGATTTTTCAAACAAAGAGAGTTCAATGCAAGTGAGTTCGTTACATTACAATTCAGTTGACCTTGACCTTTGATTGTATAAAATCACTCTGGCGGTTGATTGAATTATTATTATTTTTTTCTTTGTTTTTTGATTTTGAGAGGCAGGATTTTGATAATTAGCATTTATATCACATGTTACTGTATATGAGCTCATGACACTGTACTTTGAAACTGTATGCAATATAACCACACTAACTGAAATTTAAATACAATGAAAAGACATCAGGATGGGTATACCAAAAGTATTGTTGTAGATTGATTGATTGATTGTATGTTGTTTTACGTCCCATTCGAGAATTTTTCACTCATATAGAGACGTCACCATATACCGGTGAAGGGCTTCAAATTTTGACCTTTACTCGGCACTCAGGGCCATTGAGCAGTGAGGCGAAGGAACAGTTGCTACCCATTTTATCGACTTGGGTCTGTCGCGGCCGAGATTCGAACTCACGACCTCCCGATCACGGAGCGAGCGCTCTACCGACTGAGCTACCGTGAACGGTAGTATTGTTGTAGAGTGAATAGAGACTGAAATCTCTTTTGGAAGATATCTGGGATATAGATATATTTATTAAAAATAATTATTTTAATTATTATACCCCCATTCCGAAGGAGAGGGGGGTATACTGTTTTACCCTTGTGTGTCTGTCTGTCTGTCTGTGTGTCTGTCTGTCTGCCCGTAACAAATATTTCGTCAAAGTTTTCTCAGCAACTACTCATCGCAGATGCTTGAAATTTTAGTACACACTTTATTGAGGTATGCCATATGGTGGGATTCATTTTCATACGAATCTGATTTCAACCTCCTGTTTATCTGTGCGTCTGTCTGTACCATACATAACAAATTTTGGTTGCAGTTTTCTCAGCAACTACTGATTGCAGATGCTTGAAATTTTAGCACATTCTTTGTTTAGGCATGCCATATAGTGGGATTTATATTTGTACGAATCCAATGTCAACTTCCTGTTTATCCGTGCATCTGTCCGTACCATACATAACAAATTTTGGTCGCAGTTTTCTCAGCAACTACAGATTGCAGATGCTTGAAATTTTAGCACACTCTTTGTTTAGGCATGTCATATGTTGGGATTCATTTTTGTACGAATCCGATGTCAACTTCCTGTTTATCCGTGTGTCTGTCCGTACCATACATAACAAATTTTGGTCGCAATTTTCTCAGCAACTACTGATTGCAGATGCTTGAAATTTTAGCACACTCTTTGTTTAGGCATGTCATATGTTGGGATTCATTTTTGTTCAAATCCGATGTCAACTTCCTGTTTATCCGTGTGTCTGTCCGTACCATACATAACAAATTTTGGTCGCAATTTTCTCAGCAACTACTGATTGCAGATGCTTGAAATTTTAGCACATTCTTTGTTTAGGCATGTCATATTTTGGGATTCATTTTTGTACAAATCCAATGTCAACTTCTTGTTCATCCTTGAGTCTGTCCATAACTGTACTTGTGTATATTCACATCAGAATGAATATTCACATCAAAGTGGGGTTATTACTAGTGAACATTGGCTCACAGACTTCTTGTTAATTTCAATTTTATAATTCACTTTAGCTTTGAAGGGTGGAGAATCATATATCTATTGTCAGATTTTATATGATAAATGCTATTCTGTATGGGTCTTACTATTTGTGGATTTTTTTTCTTTGCTATATAAGGGCTATTTTGAAATTAAACATTTACTTTTACTCCATAAAAGAAAGACATTAATTCATGAAAATTTGTCAACATTTTAACAAGAACAAATAAAACAGCTATGCAAAATTTCTAATTGATAGGATAATTAGACATGTCCCATTGGAATTATAAACTTGCATATGTCTATTGACCTAAAGCATCATTGCTTCTTCATTTTCATCTCATGCCAGCCATAGATCTTTACCATGTTGAGACAGTCTGGAAGCTTTAATGCTTCTTTCTCTGTCATCACAGAAACTACTCAACTGATTGAGATGAAACCTTTTTAGGGTTAACAGGCATGTTGTGTAGATGTGCAGAAGGAAGGTCATTTTACCCACGCTTACATGCACATGCGTGCGCGTGCAAGGAGTGAAATGACTGAAGCAATTGAAACACCATTAACCTTCCTGTTTTTTATGATATGCTTTGAACTGCATTGTATAAACTTATATTAGTACTGTAGACAAGAAGAGGTGGTTGAATTAGCAAGAAAGCATGTGCATGCATGTGTGCTTTGCTCTGTTTGACTGACACAAAAAATCTCAATAACCTTTTTTTTTTTGATGAAATGCTTTGAAATTAAAACATAGTCATACACAAAAAGGCTCTCCATTTTGATATAATATATGAGATATTGTGAAAACACGCTCATGCAAGTGTGCTGCAATTTGATTGGCTTAAACTTTAAATGGCTGTTACAGTAGTAACTTTCTTAGTTTTTAACAAAACTGGATGGAATTTACAATATAGATAGGTGTAATGGGTTCCTACATTGTGCTACTATGAAAATTGAATGCAAGAACGTGGATTCTGATTAGCTTATACTTATATGGCTGTATCTCTCATAGTTTTCAATGAAAATCTTTAGATTTCTTACATAGCTATTTATTGTGAGTCTCTTCACGAGGAAGGAATATGAAATATTTAGAAAATATGGGCATGTGCATGCGCTAGAGGTGTAACGATACAGCAATACATCGATCGTATTGATCGCAAGGGCTGACGATACGCGTATCACCATGTATGTATTGTGATACAGTAGAAGATAATTTTCATTGTTTTGTTTGTAACTTCTGCATTCAACCTAACAAATTTTAATGTTTTAAAATGGCTGAAAAAAGGTAGCAAAGAAAAAATACAATATCAAGACTATAAATCCACCTTTTATTAACTTTGATAAGGGTTATCAAGATATTCTTTGTATATTTTCTATAACTGTGGAGTTAGCAAAGAGTTATATGTTAAGATAAAGCTTAATTCAATTGGTGACAGCTGTATCATGGTACATGTTGTATATCACATGACCGTATCATTGTTAGGTAGTTTGCGATATACTCAGGCCTAGCATGCGCTGAAATCCAATTGGCTAATGTAATACTCAAAGAACTATACCAGTGTTGTTTTTCGAATAAATACTACTGAAAATAAAGTATAGATTTATTAAGCAAAAGAATTGCATAATTAAATGAAGCCTGTAATGAATGGGGCCCATAAGAGAATGGGGAAGTGTTTGGGGAACATCTGAAACAGTTCTCGTTACAGTTAGCACTAGTTGTTATTGTTTTAGCAGATCTTTTAGTCTGGAAAAGAGTTCTCCAAAGAGCTACGTAAAATTCTATAGGTATGCTTGCTGTGTCGCGTTGACGTCAAAATCTATTTTATTGATGTAATCAGATATCTATACCTAGCTTAGATTTTTTTATGATCTCCGTATTTCTGATTGAAATTCTAAGAAGCTTGCACAAAATGAATTGAAATGAAATTTACTAATTTCTATTTACCCATTAATATACCATTGAAAAGAAGAAATAAAATATTTGTAAAATATTTGTTGCTTTTATTAATTCTTAGTGTTTGTCAAACATATATGCCATTTTTCACCAAAAGGCATTACTTGGAAAGAAAAATAAACACTATGTACTAGCTAATAATCTCTTAACAGCCCTCATAATGCTTGTATCAAATAATATTTGACCACCCTTAGATTTTCTTTTAATCTTAAATAATGATGCTGTTCATCAGGCGACACGTGTTCCTTGGAACACTCTTTTAATTTTAGCTAGCAAGATTATTTGGACTTAAAAGTCAAGTTAATAATCTTCTAACAAACATTTTCTTCTGTCATGTTTAATTCATAGTCACTAGGCAACACTGAAATTTCCACTCATTGCTTTTCAGTCATCGACAGGAAAAGGAATTACCGGTAAGTTGACAGGACTTTCCACACTGTTTCTGGTAGCAGCTTATGATTGAATTGATGGTAGAAGACGTGGCCCACTTAATCAAAGGTAAATCTCATGGAATAGTGCTAATAGTACTGATATTTTTTTTTACTCTGTTTTGCATTGAAGCTTTAGGTCAAAGGCAAATTTTCTTTGTGTGGATTCTTTTATTCTTCTCAGAAATGTGTGGCTGCTAATTGAGCCATAGCTGTCTGTTTTCTTTGAGAATCAAAGAATTGCAGGAGATCTTTTAGGTTTTCAATGAAATTTCCTTGTTTTTCAGATAATCTGTATAGAGTGGCACCTTAACCACCACTGGTGAAATAGATGACTAGTGGATGGTCATCACTTTGCAGCTCACTTTCACTTTCTGCAGCCCATCTCTTCTCATCCACAATCATTGTCTTTGGAGGAATGGTGACAGTGCAGTCCTCATGGCTGGGCAGGTAACTTCCTTTCCTTTATTTCTCAGCTTTCACCTTTCTTACAAAATTTATTTCCATAGAACACTGCTACAATTTTCTTCCTCTAAGAACACAGTATATGTCACTTGGGTAGCAGCTTAGAATTGGGTTTTCCCAATGGCACTGAAGGTGGCAATTTTGTATTGAGCATCTCCTTCCACTCTGATACGTGTATCAGGAGTCCCCATTTTTCATTTAGATCCTGAATGTTCTGTCTTATATTCATCATACTGGTCTTCTACCCCCACAATAAAGGTTGGGGGAATATATAAGAATCACCTTGTCAGTCTATCGGTGCCAACTTGTTGGTCATTGGAAGCTCAAACTTGGTACAAAGAATGTTTATGACCTGTTGGTGTGTCAAGATCTTGACCCAAGGTCATTCAGGCTAGTTCAACAGGGTTTGACACTAAGGCATGTTTGACCCAGTCTAGTAAATGAGTGGTCCAGTCGTGTAAAAGACCAAGTGGTCGTATTGATAAAATAACTGTTGAACCCCCATTTCAGTCCTTCAAAGAAATAATCTAAAAACTTTTAAAGAAAGGACAAGATATGGTAACGGCCTAATCTGGCCCCTTGTTTGATGTAAAAAACAGAACACAGTTAAAATTGTGATAGTTTGCAGGTAAGAATTAAAAATAATGCTTGTTTTAAAACCAGCACTTATTTTGATTCAAAGCTTACATGGAGGCCACAAGAGGGTGTAGAAGTAGGTTATTTTCCAGAATTTCCTCAATTCTGGTTGCATTTTGTCAAATTTGCAGGGGTTGAAATATATGGTAGCCTGATGCCCCGGGCTAGTCAATTTAAGACTCGGGCTAGCTAATTCAGATGTAATGATAGTCCATCGGACTAGCAGAATGGGGAAAAAATCTCAACAGTTTACTTTCACTTTTCTATGTCGAGTGGTTTCATTAGACTGAGAACTACATTGTAGTTTAATTTGTTTCTGTTACCACAGCCTTTAAAACTTTTACTTGTTATGTTTTCATTTCGCATGAAAAAGTTGTTGGGCTAGTTAGTTTGAGGTTTGGGCTAGTAATTTTTACTGGTCAATAGCCCCTGGGCTAGTGGGTTTTCCAGGAAAATTTAAACCCCTGATTTGAGATACTTTTCACTTTGGGAAATATAGAGCACAAGGCTGCCTATCTGAGATTTTTATACATAAGATGCATCTGATACTATTGTATGAAATATATAAATTTGGTAGATAGGCAAGCTTGTGCTCTATGTTTTCTGAACCAAAATGTGCTGTAAAACCAATGAAAATTTGCATAAAATGAGAAAATTCGGAAACTGACATTTTTCCTGACCTTCCTGTGGCCTCTGTGTATCCCATAACTTAGAAACAATACTCAATTTATGGCAGGGGTGACAACAGGTTTTTAACTGAAAAACTGTTGCAACATTCTAAAAGACACCCCAAACCAGGGGCCAAAAAGGGATCTTAGCCTATCTTATTCTTTCTAATATGTTAGATTGTAAACAGTCATTGCTCTGTAAAGAAAAAAATCCCCACATGACCCAATCACTATTTTTAGCCACAGCTGTTATTAACAAGTCGAGGGCAAAACTACTTTTGTTCAGTACAATGTTTCAATATGATGTAAATAGTTATGTTTAGTATAGTTTTAAGCTAATTTATTAATATTAACGATAATTATTTTATGAAAGTTTGTTGAATCTTTAAGGCTTATATTGCTCAAATGTCCTGATGAACCCGACTTGATTGGCGGGATCCCATCAAACAGTCTGTCAAAATTCAAGGTCACTGACAGAAATGATATAAACTTCTTGTCCAGGATATCAGTTTGCAATGGAGAATCATTGAAGCTCATTCTTGGTACAAAGATTATTGAAGACCTGAGAGTGTGTCATGACCTTGGCCCATGGCAATTCTGGCAAGTTCAAGGTCACTGGCTTAAAAGGTATAAAACACTTGTGTAGACTGTAACTTTGTAATGGAGAATCATTGGAAGCTCTTACTTGCTACAAAGATTGTTTATGACCTGGAAGTTTGTCTTGACCTTGACCAAGGTCATTCTGACAAGTTCAAGGTCACTGGCAGATAAGAGATAACATACTTGTCCAGTCAATAACTTTGTAACTGAGCTTTAATTTGCTACAAAATTTTTTTTTCTGACCTGAGGATCATTGTGACAAGTTCAAGTTCTATGGCAGAAAAAATGTAAGTCTATTATTTTGTATTAATGGAGAAAAATTGGATGTCCATATTTCACTCTTAGATTGATCATGTCCAAAGATCTGTCCTTTTTTTACCAAAGTCATTTTGGTAAGTTCAAGGTCACATTTACACATTCTAAATAAAAGAATTGCAGCAGGGTTATAACCTTATTATTTTGTTAGCTCGCTCACAGCACCTTTAGCTGACATAAGTGATGTAATAATTTTTCTCATTTTGTTTCAGGTCTACTGCATGATGACAGCTGATACTTGTTCTCTATTTACTCCAAGAGGCCTACTACACATTGTACCTCAGTTATGACTGTACTCGTACTGGCTTCTATGATGTTAATTTCCTTTACCTGCACTGTGTTAAACTTGGTCATTCTGTTACTGTCGAACACCAACAGATGAAAATAAGATTAAGCTGATCCTGCCAACATTGTGACATAAGCGGTCCAATGTCCAATATCTCACTCTGCAGTCAAACATCAACGCTCAGTAAAACATTGGAAATGTTAGACTTTTTTAGTATTGATTTATATAGTTACATATTTTAAAAGTAATAACAATTCTTTTTATGCCCCCGGATCGAAAGATCCCGGGGGTATATTGTTTTTGTCCTGTCTGTCTGTTTGTCTGTCTGTCAACTTTAACCTTGCCCATAACTTTTGATTGGTTGGAGCTATTACTTTCATATTTCACATGTGTATTTCTTGTGACAAGACCTTTCTTTGGGTACCATCATATTTGACCTTTTGACCTTGACCTTAGAGTTTGACCCACTTTTGCAAAATTTTATGAGACTTTAACCTTGGCCATAACTTCTGAACAGTTGGTGCTTGGGGTTTCAAACTTCACATGTGTATTCTTTGTGACAAGGCCTTCCTTTGGATACCAACAATTGACCTTGACCTTGGAGTTTGACCTACTTTTGAAAAACTTTAACCTTGGCCACAACTTTTGAACGGTTAGAGCTAGGGCTTTCATACTTTACATATGTAATCTTTGTGACAATACCTTCCTTTGGATACCAACCACTTTGACCTTTTGACCTTGACCTAGGAGTTTGACCTACTTTCGAAAAACTTTAACCTTGGCCATAACTTTTGAATGGTTAATGCTAGGGCTTTCATACTTCACATATGTAATCCTTGTGACATCACCTTCCTTTGAATACCAACCACTTTGACCCTTTGACCTTGACATAGGAGTTTGAACTACTTTTGAAAAACTTTAACCTTGGCCATAATTTTTGAATGGTTGATGCTAGGGCTTTCATACTTCACATATGTAATCCTTGTGACAAGACCTTCCTTTGGATACCAACAACTTTGACCTTGACCTTAATGTTTTACTGACTTTTTAAAAACTTTAACCTTCGCCATAACTTTTGAACAGTTGCAGCTAGGGCTATCAAATTTAACATTTTTTATATTTTGGCCTGGATTTTGACTTGCATTTGAGAAACTTTAACCTTCGCCATAAGCTGCCATACAGGGGCATCAGTGTTTCACAAACACATCTTGTTATTGATGTATGTTTAAGTATGCAAAAATGAACATTGATGATATTAAAGGTGAGGTATTTATTTGTGATTTCTCTTCTGAATAAAATTTTATATCAATAATTTATGCTCTTGTTTATACAAACCGCAAATGAGGCTTTCTATTCATTAGGAACTGGACCCATAATTACTTCCTTAAGGAGGAATGCCACACCAAAATTTAATTCCATTGGTCTTAAGACATCCATGTTAAGGAAGCTCTAAACACTAATGAAAAATGCTTTTTGGGCTTTGAGAAAAATATATCATATAAAGGTGCACATATTCAGTGTATCAAGTTCATTTTCAACATAGGGTACCTGCCTTATTTCTGCAGAAAAAAATGTTCAAAGACAATGAACTATTTGTGAACAGAAATCACTGTTTTTTACTTGCATCAGGAAAATTAATGGAAATAATGTATTCAATTACTCAATCTTGGTCTAACATAACATTAAGAATACTTTAATTCATAAGAAATTATGTCATTAACTGTAGATTCCCATTTATACTATTTTTCTTCTAAGGGCAAATCACCCAATAAAACTACCCTACAAATAGAACTCTTTAGTGTGCAGTGTTTAGAGCTTCCTTAAGTCATGGTTTCAGCATTGAAAGGCCTAGCTCTTAATTATTTTATAAGAATTTTCTCCAATTTTTCATAGAAAATGGAAAAAAAATGTTTTATTTGCAAATAAGATGCTTTATAGTTAAAAATCTGTTGTTAATGAATGCATAATATAAATATCTCATAAAATATGTGAAGAAAAGCCAGATAGACATTTTAATTTTTTTACTAAAATTTTTTTTTCGAAAAAGTACATTATTTGTGAATATTTTCAAAACATATGGATAATGTATTCAAAAAACAAGTCACAGCTACAAAGGATATGTTAGACAATCATATTTGAAAAAGAAATTGAAACGAAATTGCGAAATTTTAGACAAATTATTTTTTACAAATTTTAGCCGATCCCGATCGAAATTAAACTGATCCCAACCAGAATTTTATAATAATTGATAATAGATAATATTTTCAGAAGAAATACAAGTTTGTTAAGGTGTAATACGCGTTAAAAAGTAATTGAACTTGATAAATAAATAAATTTCTTAGTGGTAAATACTTAAAGAAGGCAATAATTTCATCTTATTTATTTTGTGGTAATTTTGATCGGGATTGGTCAGGATTTCAGGATTTTTTTCAAATGTTAAAGCAAAATGTTTACAAGCAATAAAGGGAAATAGGCTGTTGACTATTTTACAAAACTTAAATTCTTAAAACTGAGAAAGGAGGGGGAGGGGGGGGGTGTAATACTCTCATTTTCTTTTCTGCACGAAATATATTCTGTACAATACGGTGCAAGCGGTTCAACGCTACCACAGAAAAGTGTGGAAAGCGTGTGTTTGGGGGGGGGGATGTCTCAGATTAAATAATACCATGCATACAGGTGTATCTGCAAAAGACAGATGAATCCAAATCCAAATCTTATGTAGAGAAAGAATACATATACTTTTACATGTACCGGTAAATACAATGTATAAAAATGTTTGTTTGTTTGTTTGCTTAGTTGTTTAACGTCCCTTCGAGAATGTTTCAATCATATTGAGACGCCAACACTTGCTGGTGGGGGGCTGCAAATTTAGACCTGTACTCGACACTTGCGGCTTTTGAGCAGAGAGAGATCTTTTTCGTGCCAGCATCTACTGCGACAAGGGACTTCGGTTTATACGGTCTTATCCTAAGGACCGGTCTCCACCTTATACAGTACGGAAATAATCCATACATTGTAAAAACAGTTTAGAAATGAGGCAAAAATAATAATTATATACATTTTTGTATGCTACGAAGAGATGCAAAAACAGATATATTCGAGGAGCCGTAACATATTTGGAGATTCGACCGTACATTATTTCACCTACCACAATATAGAAGTGTATGCTTAAATCTTTGATAAAGTCCCAATATTTAATTACATTGTGACCCATATTCTTTTTCTTGAAATGTTGGGTTTTCTTTGGTGATTATTCAGATTTTGAGCGCTTGATTTAATGTATTGTATAAATGTATATGTTGCAAATTTCTCTCTGCTTTATAGGTTTAAAGACTACATGTATATATCCTCAAATCATTTTAATTCACCAACAGATTGAAGGGATATATAAGTATATCTATGTAAACTCTCGAAGCTGTGGAGCTTTTCGACATCTGAGGATACATGTATGCGTACCTACTGGCACTGATATCGGCTTAATACCACTGATTTCGGTCACTGGAGGAGAGATTTTTTATACATGTATTTTCAAGAACAGATTCTTTATTTCCAAAATCTGCCAGCGTCCCCCTTTTAATAAATAATAAATAAAAGATATTGATGATTTCTTTAAAAGAATAGATTGGATAGAAGTTTCTAATCTGAATTAAATTCAAACTATTCGGAAATTGAAATTATTACTTGTCTTCTGCATCAAGCGTATGAGAAAAGCAAATTTGGATTGAAAATTAACTTCAAGCTAGAATTTCAATCAATTTTTCTCAGACGTCCGACACGAATTCGCTTTCTATCACCAAATCATATGCGGCTTTTCCCCAACCAACTCAGAACCAGCAGCATACTTTGTACATATCTTAGGACTATCTTAAGATACGTCTTTGGATGTAAAACAAAAGCATCTTAGGAATATCTTTAGTTAAGATGTCGTAATTGGGGAGGGGGGGGGCGTGGTCATGGGATCTGGTCCCCTTGGGATTTTTAGAGTTGTTGAAATGATATTAATAGTAAACCCAATCCCTCTAGAAAACACGGACCCCTGTTACAATGGCATAGAAAGTCACATACATTAATACATCTTCTGTATTTCTATAAAGGCAAAGCGATTTAACACCCCCTCCCCCTCCAAAACGAAATAGCTATATAAGGTATGGATAAGTTTATGGTTTTTTATCCTTGCTTGACAATAATGTCTGAGTCTTCTTTTTTTTGAGTGCGCGGCTCTGTACCCTCCTTCCCCCTCCGGAAAATGCCTGTATCCGCGCTTGATATGTATTGGTAATAATAAAATGTTTCAGAAATTTTATGAATAATCGCTATTCCTCGATTTTCATTTCAAATTTTTTATCAGGTTTGTCCATTCTTATCCCGTTTTCATGTATTGAGCTGTAATAGATATAATAGAGAAATAAAATTAAAAAAACAGAAAAGAAAATCTATATGCAATTTTTTAAAACATATTTATATTAATGGATAAGTCAATTTGAAAAAAAAAATTGAAGCATTCCCTTTTTGAATAACAATAAAAATTAACATTATAACATTGTGATATATTTATAATTCACATATAAGGAACAATTGAGATTAGTAATAAGATTTATTTTCAAAATGCCACTTCTTGTGGTTGTTCGTCCCCAGATGTAACAGACCTCCCCGCCCCCCCCCCCCTCCTCTCTGTAGAAAGGTTGGAGGTAGTGCCCGTCTGCATCCGAGCCGTAGTCACGCTTATGAATGTTTTAACCTGCTACATGTTTCATTCATCAATTAATAAATGTATTTTCATTTATCACTTTCTCTTTTCCATTTGTACGGTTAAATGCATACATATACAGTGACACGGCACAGTGTCTACTTAATTGATTTAATTCATAAAAGAAATTAATATTTTTACAAAAACTATTGGATTAAATTATATAAGCTCTGTAAATTCAATATATTCTA